AGAACTTGTTTCCAATCATCGATGGTCCAATTCGACCAACAATATCCTTTGTAAAATGTTTTTCAAATAATACATTGCCGAAGATTTTATACTCAGATGCTAACAGAGTAATGCCTTTATAGTTCTTACACTCCAGTTGACCACCCTTTTTATGCAACGGACATATTATTCCGTTTAGCCACTCTTCTGGTACCCATTCATTCTGTCATATAAGTACTATTAGTTTATGAATTGATGCAAAAGTTGATTGTTTTTATACATTTTCGAACATATTTCATCGATTCCTGGGGCTTTATTGTCTTTGAGTTTTAGGATCGCATTTGACACTTCTTCTCTTGTTGGGTCTCCACTGTGTAGTTGACGTAGATTTTGTTGATTTTCTATGTTGTACTCTCATTCAATATCGTTTATATTTAGATGTTCGCTGAAATGTTGTGCCCATCTGTTAAGAACTGAGTTTTTATCATGTAGAATTTTACCGTTAGTGTCTTTACAAATGTTTAATCTTGGTTTAAATTATCGACGGCTAGCATTTAAGGATTTGTAGTAACTCTTCGTTTCATTTTTATCGAATAAACTTTGTATCTCACTGAGAGTGTTCTGTTCGTATTTCTTCTTACGTCGATGGATGCGTTTTTCCTGTCTTCTAAGACGTCTATACTCTTCTTTTTTTCTCCGTGTACAACCTGCGTCAATGGTTTTTTGATATGCTGCGTTTTTTCTATTTGTGGCCATTTCGCACTCATGATCAAACCAATGATTTCTTTTTTCTGACTTGGTTTTGCCCAATATTTCAACGGATTTCTGCAACATAGTATCTCGTATATTTGCTCATAGTTGCAACACCTAACATATGCACCTATATTTATGCGTTAAAAAAAATCCATACAAAATGAGATATTGAGATCCTACTGACCTCCATTGTTTTATGTACTAGACAGCCTCACGTCCTATCTTTATAAAATAGTTCAATATATATATATATATATATATATATATATATATATATATATATATATATATATGTATATATTATATTTTTAGTCCATATTTTTCACAGAAACTGTTCGTTTTGTTTTTTCAGTAATTGGAATTGTTCAGCAGAGCTTGTCATAATCACGGTGTCATCTGCATATCTTATGTTGTTAATAGATCTTCCGTTAATTATTATTTCTTCGCTTTGAGATAGTAATGCTTCTTCAAAAATGGCTTCACTGTATACATTACATATTAATAATTGTAGAATAGATTCGAGACATAGGCGACTAATACATAATATATATAAAAATGCAACTATGATAGTACAACTAGACGAAAATACAAATCCCATCCCCATTAAGAGAGGAGTGAGACAAGGAGATGAAATATCGCCAAAGCTTTTCAACCTAGCCCTAGAAGACGTCTTCAAAACTACAAATTGGTCAACGTATGGCATTAACGTTAATGGCAACAAGTTAAACCACCTCAGATTCACTGACGACATAGTGATTATAGCGAGCACATTCGAGGAACTGCAAATTATGATGGGGGAACTAGCAGGCAGCTCCCAATATGTCGGCCTAAAAATAAATATAAAAAAAAAACAAAAATAATGACAAACATAGATGACTCCAGACGTATAACTATAAATGGCAGTAAGATAGAACAAGTCCAGGAATATATCCACCTAGGCCAAATCCTAAAACTTGAAAAAGAGAACCAAAGTGCGGAAATTATTAGAAGAGCAGGACTAGCATGGGCAGGATTTGGAAAACTTAGTCGGATACTTAAGAACCGCAAAATACCCCAATAATTGACGAGCAAAGTGTCCAACCAATACATCTTTCCTATCATGACATATGGATGTCAAACCTGGACCCTAACCAAGGCAAACATGAATAAACTAGCCACAACACAAAGAGCAATATTAGATATACGACTGTCAAATAAAAAGAGGAACGACTGGGTAAGATCAAAAACAAAAGTTGACCACATAACAAAAATTGCCAAACTTAAATGGAGCTTCGGGAGCCACACGGCTAGACAAAAAGATCAACGTTGGAATACTACAATACAACATTGGAGACCTTACGAAAGTAAACGACCAAGAGGAAGACCACAGATGAGATGGGTTGATGACATTAAGAGAATAGCCGGAACAAATTGGGAATATGTTGCTCGGGATAGAGACCGATGGAAGGAGTTGCTAGAAGCGTATGTCCAAACATGGACAATAGAAGGCTAAGAAGAAGATATACATTAAATAGTAATGGGGCCATAATACATGAAACTTAACATTGTTTATTTATTTGAGAAACAGAATAATCAAAAAATCAAATACGCATATAAAGTTGAAAGTCTTATATGAATGTTTTTGCACTTTCAATGAGAGGGTTGGCATTGTCTGTTCTTGACAAGTTTTTCGATATTCGGTTAAAACTGTCAGAGCACACCTCAAGTCACTTTCAACGTCCAGCCTTGAAAGGTATTTTGATTTTTTTCCGCCAATGCAGGAAAACCAGATTAGCAAAAATATGTGGATGAAAACTGGACTAATAACTTCGCAGATATTAAAGCCACATCTGGGTAAACAGGAAAGTAGGTTAACCAAAATTCTTCCAAGTCCATGTTTGCAAAATCTGCTTTTGCTTGTGAATCACATTTTAGGTCAATTGCCTGCTCTTGAAAGTTAACTGGAAGAATGTCAAATTCGATATGAAAAGGATCTCTTGTCAACTTAAATTCCCAGTTTTCCGAGCTAACATCTGGAAAGTACTTTCGAATTTCATTTTTTAGTTCTTCCAAATGCCGTGATATGACGTCTTTCAAATCCTAAACTAGATGTACTGAAAGGGTTTGAATATCATCGAGGAGGTCGTTCAGTTTATGAAAAGAGGAAAAGTTTGACTTGGAATTGTGAAGGCGGCGTTGCCAAAGCGATATTTTTTCTATAAACCCCTTAATTGCATCATAAGGTTTTTACGACCTTGAAGCTTCAGATTCAGGACATTAAGTGTGCACTGGACCTCTGTGTGGAACATGAGGGTTTCCCAGCACTATTCAGTTCTTGACATAGTGCCTGAAAGAGCCTAGAGTTTAATGCGCTGGATTTGATGTGGTTAACTATTTTAATTTCTAAGTGTAATGTGACGTTGAGAGGTTCAGGTAAAGTCTGACTAGCTAAAAAGCTTGTCTGGGAATAATGAAGTGAGAACCAATTATCCTAGGGTTCTTCTATTTTGCCAATTTCATAAATCCAGATCGACATCCTATCATGGCTTCGGCCCCATCAGTACATATGCCAATTACTTTCTCCCATGGAAGTTCATTGATTACTAAAAAATCTTCAAGAGCAGAAAATATGTCAATGTACCTCTAGAGTGAGTGTCTAGGCAAGAACAGTGGTTTAAATTATCGCTCTCCGGGATAAACAAATTGAATAACTTATAATCGGTTTTATCGGTCGATCGATTTGGAATGTGACACACACACTTTATTAACTCATTAACTGCCATAATTTTAAGTAGTTACATTACGTGCCATTATACAAAAAACAAAGTTGTAAACATTTACAAATTACTGCAAAATTAAGTTTTTTTTGCAATTATCTTGGTGAATTATTTATGTATTTTAATTTAGAAATTCGCAAATTGAATAACATTTCAAGATCTACAATTTTTATTTGAAACATTTTTAACTAAACTGCATAAGAAACGTTTTAATAAAAGTATGCTTATTTCACTTTTTAAGATTGTTTAAACAAAAACAAAGCAAAATCAGCTGTACTTCCTCACGGATTTTTTGATCAGCTACCCCTCATATACATTTTAGAACCTTCAAATAACTTGTATCAGATTTTTAGGTGAAGTCAATGATTTGTTCCCAGATAGCCTGATGTAATAATCATGTTTTCAGTCGGTATTAAATAGACTTGTATGTTTAGATGATTTCTGCAACTTAAGGGTATTAATATCGCGTTGTAAAACTGATACTAAGATTTTTTATTTTTTATTAGTTATGGCATTAAACGTTTCGATCGTCATCATGAACACTAGTGCGGTCATTTTAAAAACTTTAACCTATTTTGTAACCATTCTAATAATGTTTCCTCCATAAACTTAACTGATCTCATAAAAGAAAAAAATGGGTTGTTAAGAAGGATATATTATAATAAGAATTACGAATTATTAAGTTCATAAGATGTATATTGTTATTATTTACAATGTCCAAATAATAAATAACGTATGATACCAGCTTGGGAGTATTTTTTTAATAATACTTGAATATTTCATGCTCTTAAATTACTTTTTATTTGCTTCCATTTCCATTTTTATTTGAAACTAGACCAAAATGTTTCTGTCATGGAAGGATAAATCATTTGCTGAGAGATTTATATAACTTTTTTATAAGTTCTACTATATATAGTATATAGTGAGTAGCCTAGGATTACATACAACAAACTGGAGAATGACTAATACTTTAGGGTTCTTAGTCGCAGTTCCATAGCAAGGTCACGTTTAGTGAATATCTTTTCCATTTGTCCAAATATTTCTCTCGCAATTTGAATCTGTGTCGTTATTTCTTCACTTTTGTTATTGTCCTCATTTACCCAAGTTCCCAGATATTTGCAGTTGTTACTATTTCTGCTTGTAGTCAACAATTAGTAGCTGGGATGGAGGGACCACAAGGGATTCAACGAGTATCCTTGAAATAAGCCACGGTTAGTTGGGATATTTTCGATTTCGATATGGTTTTCGTTAGCTATCTGAAGATGAATTTTGATCTTCTAGTCTGACATTAGGTATGTTATAAAAATGTCACAATATTATGATCGACTTATGATGTTAAATATTACTTCATATATGCCTTTTAACAGGGGATCTCTACCTCCTGCAGCTATATAGTTTGAGTCGGGTGACTTATTGTTTTTTTAATCTATTGGCTGCTGCCTAAAAGGAAATTTTAAAAATTGTAAGAGTATCATTACTTACAGACGTGTCTCTCACTATAATATTTTTAAGGTAATACTCTTGGTTTTTACGGTGGTCTGTTCGGACCAGAGGGCGATACAGTCCTTGGACACAGTTACCATGGCGCTTTTCACATATGGAAACACTCCGTTAAATTATCACAATGGATTCCGTGTGCAACTGTCGGAGGCCACTTCAACGAAGTGACGGACTGTGCGTGGGAACCACATGGACAATTTTTATTTACAACCAGTGCGGACCAGACAACCAGGATTCATGCTCCTTGGAAACGGGATAAAGAGGAAGTAAGTATTTAGGATAATAATTATTAATTATTTTGAATTATTAGGAAAGAATTTGAAGAACAATGAAGTGTAAAATTTCTAATGTAATTGGTATAATAATTTATAAAATTATTTAAATTATTAAAATATCCAAAAAGATTAAAAAACGGTTCAAAACCTTTTCGGTTCTATCAGACCATAATCAGTGATACCTGAAAGTAAGTAAATCCACCTTAATATAATGAAAAAGGGGGTAAAATTTTGATTTCTAATTTACATGTAAAATGTTAGGTAAATTTTAATTTCAACGAAGTAGTGTCGATGATTATGTATTTATCCAAAAAAGAAGATACTGAGCACTTACTCAAAATGGCGACCATGTCTGGGTCAAGCGAAAGTTACCAGCCAATTGATTTGAAAAGGCAGGAAGTGATACGGGGGAACACACACAGACAACACGATGCATATTATTACATAAAAATAGTTTAGAACAAGCCCGAGCTGCCTTTGTAAAAATGAGAAACGTACTTTGCAGTCATGATCTTAGCATTGACCTTAGAGTTCGTATGATATCTTGCTACATCTTTCCTGTCCTGCTGTATGGAGTAGAAGCGTGGACCCTAACTGAGGCTATGCTTAAACGCTTGACAGCCTTTGAGATGTGGGTATACAGACGACTACTGAAAATAAGCTGGGTCGACAGAGTTAGAAATGAGGAGGTCCTTAGACGGCTGAACCAAACAACACAACTGGTCAATATAATAAAGAAACGCAAGCTGGAATACTTCGGTCATATTATGAGACACCCTGAAAAATATGATCTTTTACATCTGATCATTCAGGGAAAGATCCAAGGTAATCGTGGTCCTGGTAGAAGAAGAACATCATGGCTGAAAAATCTAAGGCAATGGTATGGAAAATCAACTACATCGTTATTTAGAGCTGCTGTCAATAAAGTCACGATAGCGAATATGGTAGCCAACATGATATCCAACGATCGATAACGGTCATGGAACTAGAAGAAGAAGAAGAAAAATAGTTTATAATTTGGTATATAGTTAGGCTGTTTTGAGATAATTTAATAAAGAAGTTAAATTTAAAGTCAGCACATTTTTTAAATTATCACTCAGAACACACGCGATTTTTCGTTCTTGTATGCTGGACACACTGGATAATTATACGTTTCACTGTCAATTGGGTGTTGTTACGAAATATTTTGCCTACCACATAGGGTATTACTGTGGGGGTTGAAATCTTGGGACAGAAATTGTTGGGGGTGGAGATAGGGTAAGCAAAATAAACGATACTTATGCGAACGGCACTCAGGGTTTATTTGGAGAGCTGGGGTCGTGGATAAATTGAATGGCAAGGGGTTGGATTGGGGCAACTACAAAAATGAAATAAAAGAGGGTACGCACATGAATCTCCTGGGCAAATGGACAAACAAAACAACAAGAAAGACCTCTAGCTATTTAAAATGTACGCCGTTTCGAGGTGTCAAATTATAACGATTACAACTAGTTGTAACTATTGAAATAATTATTAGAAATGAAAAATGTATCTTTTTAAATGAAACTCAAAAAAGGGGTTAGAGAGTTAGTTAAGAGAAATAAACAAAATGGTTTATTTCTCAGTTACAAAAATAGACAATACAAAATACTACATTAATAGTGACAAAAGTAAATACAAAAGTAACAAAGAGAAATACTTACTATTTCCTAGCCGTTTACAAACTCTGTTTAGAAGTGCGAGATGCTACAAAACTTACAAAAAATTGTTACTGGGCTATAAACTGTCGCAGAAATAAATTATTACAAATAAAAAATATATTTTAAAGTGAAACTCTTCATAGAGGTTAACCTTTTTCTAAAAACAAAACAAACTAATGTCAAAAAAAAAATAAAACTAATCCAGCTGTCATACGTCAACATTAAATTTTAAAAGAGAGAACAAATAAAATGACACAAAGGCCGCACCCTAAAATTTACAATTTTACATATTACAATTTTTAAACCTGTATGAAAGCAATTATTGTTATTAAAAAAAATCTATCTTTGCTTTAAAAGTTCAAACAAAAAAAGTTATCTGAGTTTCAATAGATTACACTTTACTTTAAATTTCTGGGAGTAGCAACTGGAATTCAAACTCTACCACTCGAACAAATTCATCTCCACTGTGATAGGACAAGACACAGTTAAGATTGGAAATTGGGGCACTGGAATACAAACTTTGGAATCTCTTCTCCTTAAAAAACTGGAACAGGTAGAACTGAACACAATGGCAAAATGTGGTTATCTTTCAAAACCTCTCTTAAAACTGTAACTAAACATTGAACAGTTAACTGCAACTAAACTACTTATTTTCCATAACATAAGAGGAAGAACAAAAGGACATTACAAATTTGATAAAAAATTTGGGCCCACACTGAAGTCAACTGCCTCTGACAGCGACCTCAGGGAGAATGTCGTAGTTATCTTTCCAGCAAATCCTTCTCAGCGATTTTAATGAATGTTTATTTGAAACGCAGAATATTAAGCGGTTTCGATCAAAAGAAATACCGAGGAAAAACGCATCTGTGCGCAACTATTACGCAACTATTAGCAACCTCGGCGACGCAAATAAAAGGATTAAACCATCGTAAAATAGTTTCGAAACACAATTCAGATTTCTGCTTTTATCTGTGCTTTCTAAAAATTGCAAAGCAAAACAGACGTTGATAAAGGTGTTAAAAGAGACGTGGGGAATCTAAAATTTGCATTCCACGACACATCTTTTCAACTAAGCAGAAATCCTTAGCGAATTGGTTTCTTGTACTCGTACAGAGTAAATCCGAAAAAAGTGAAAAAGACAGCAAATATTTGATTTCACGCAAACAGCGCCTTTGTATCTGTTGATACGTATTTCGACCTAATAGGTCTCATCAGAACAGTTATTCAAAGGTGTTCTCAACGTGAAAGATCAATATTTCCTGTCTTTTAAGAAGCAACAATAACATGGCTTCGAATACGGACGCACTAGCGACATCTAATTTAACCATCGTAAAATAGTTTCGAAACACAATTCAGATTTCTGCTTTTATCTGTGCTTTCTAAAAATTGCAAAGCAAAACAGACGTTGATAAAGGTGTTAAAAGAGACGTGGGGAATCTAAAATTTGCATTCCACGACACATCTTTTCAACTAAGCAGAAATCCTTAGCGAATTGGTTTCTTGTACTCGTACAGAGTAAATCCGAAAAAAGTGAAAAAGACAGCAAATATTTGATTTCACGCAAACAGCGCCTTTGTATCTGTTGATACGTATTTCGACCTAATAGGTCTCATCAGAACAGTTATTCAAAGGTGTTCTCAACGTGAAAGATCAATATTTCCTGTCTTTTAAGAAGCAACAATAACATGGCTTCGAATACGGACGCACTAGCGACATCTAATTTAACCATCGTAAAATAGTTTCGAAACACAATTCAGATTTCTGCTTTTATCTGTGCTTTCTAAAAATTGCAAAGCAAAACAGACGTTGATAAAGGTGTTAAAAGAGACGTGGGGAATCTAAAATTTGCATTCCACGACACATCTTTTCAACTAAGCAGAAATCCTTAGCGAATTGGTTTCTTGTACTCGTACAGAGTAAATCCGAAAAAAGTGAAAAAGACAGCAAATATTTGATTTCACGCAAACAGCGCCTTTGTATCTGTTGATACGTATTTCGACCTAATAGGTCTCATCAGAACAGTTATTCAAAGGTGTTCTCAACGTGAAAGATCAATATTTCCTGTCTTTTAAGAAGCAACAATAACATGGCTTCGAATACGGACGCACTAGCGACATCTAATTTAACCATCGTAAAATAGTTTCGAAACACAATTCAGATTTCTGCTTTTATCTGTGCTTTCTAAAAATTGCAAAGCAAAACAGACGTTGATAAAGGTGTTAAAAGAGACGTGGGGAATCTAAAATTTGCATTCCACGACACATCTTTTCAACTAAGCAGAAATCCTTAGCGAATTGGTTTCTTGTACTCGTACAGAGTAAATCCGAAAAAAGTGAAAAAGACAGCAAATATTTGATTTCACGCAAACAGCGCCTTTGTATCTGTTGATACGTATTTCGACCTAATAGGTCTCATCAGAACAGTTATTCAAAGGTGTTCTCAACGTGAAAGATCAATATTTCCTGTCTTTTAAGAAGCAACAATAACATGGCTTCGAATACGGACGCACTAGCGACATCTAATTTAACCATCGTAAAATAGTTTCGAAACACAATTCAGATTTCTGCTTTTATCTGTGCTTTCTAAAAATTGCAAAGCAAAACAGACGTTGATAAAGGTGTTAAAAGAGACGTGGGGAATCTAAAATTTGCATTCCACGACACATCTTTTCAACTAAGCAGAAATCCTTAGCGAATTGGTTTCTTGTACTCGTACAGAGTAAATCCGAAAAAAGTGAAAAAGACAGCAAATATTTGATTTCACGCAAACAGCGCCTTTGTATCTGTTGATACGTATTTCGACCTAATAGGTCTCATCAGAACAGTTATTCAAAGGTGTTCTCAACGTGAAAGATCAATATTTCCTGTCTTTTAAGAAGCAACAATAACATGGCTTCGAATACGGACGCACTAGCGACATCTAATTTAACCATCGTAAAATAGTTTCGAAACACAATTCAGATTTCTGCTTTTATCTGTGCTTTCTAAAAATTGCAAAGCAAAACAGACGTTGATAAAGGTGTTAAAAGAGACGTGGGGAATCTAAAATTTGCATTCCACGACACATCTTTTCAACTAAGCAGAAATCCTTAGCGAATTGGTTTCTTGTACTCGTACAGAGTAAATCCGAAAAAAGTGAAAAAGACAGCAAATATTTGATTTCACGCAAACAGCGCCTTTGTATCTGTTGATACGTATTTCGACCTAATAGGTCTCATCAGAACAGTTATTCAAAGGTGTTCTCAACGTGAAAGATCAATATTTCCTGTCTTTTAAGAAGCAACAATAACATGGCTTCGAACACCTTTGAATAACTGTTCTGATGAGACCTATTAGGTCGAAATACGTATCAACAGATACAAAGGCGCTGTTTGCGTGAAATCAAATATTTGCTGTCTTTTTCACTTTTTTCGGATTTACTCTGTACGAGTACAAGAAACCAATTCGCTAAGGATTTCTGCTTAGTTGAAAAGATGTGTCGTGGAATGCAAATTTTAGATTCCCCACGTCTCTTTTAACACCTTTATCAACGTCTGTTTTGCTTTGCAATTTTTAGAAAGCACAGATAAAAGCAGAAATCTGAATTGTGTTTCGAAACTATTTTACGATGGTTAAATTAGATGTCGCTAGTGCGTCCGTATTCGAAGCCATGTTATTGTTGCTTCTTAAAAGACAGGAAATATTGATCTTTCACGTTGAGAACACCTTTGAATAACTGTTCTGATGAGACCTATTAGGTCGAAATACGTATCAACAGATACAAAGGCGCTGTTTGCGTGAAATCAAATATTTGCTGTCTTTTTCACTTTTTTCGGATTTACTCTGTACGAGTACAAGAAACCAATTCGCTAAGGATTTCTGCTTAGTTGAAAAGATGTGTCGTGGAATGCAAATTTTAGATTCCCCACGTCTCTTTTAACACCTTTATCAACGTCTGTTTTGCTTTGCAATTTTTAGAAAGCACAGATAAAAGCAGAAATCTGAATTGTGTTTCGAAACTATTTTACGATGGTTAAATTAGATGTCGCTAGTGCGTCCGTATTCGAAGCCATGTTATTGTTGCTTCTTAAAAGACAGGAAATATTGATCTTTCACGTTGAGAACACCTTTGAATAACTGTTCTGATGAGACCTATTAGGTCGAAATACGTATCAACAGATACAAAGGCGCTGTTTGCGTGAAATCAAATATTTGCTGTCTTTTTCACTTTTTTCGGATTTACTCTGTACGAGTACAAGAAACCAATTCGCTAAGGATTTCTGCTTAGTTGAAAAGATGTGTCGTGGAATGCAAATTTTAGATTCCCCACGTCTCTTTTAACACCTTTATCAACGTCTGTTTTGCTTTGCAATTTTTAGAAAGCACAGATAAAAGCAGAAATCTGAATTGTGTTTCGAAACTATTTTACGATGGTTAAATTAGATGTCGCTAGTGCGTCCGTATTCGAAGCCATGTTATTGTTGCTTCTTAAAAGACAGGAAATATTGATCTTTCACGTTGAGAACACCTTTGAATAACTGTTCTGATGAGACCTATTAGGTCGAAATACGTATCAACAGATACAAAGGCGCTGTTTGCGTGAAATCAAATATTTGCTGTCTTTTTCACTTAAAAGGATTAAAATAACTTTTGGGTATTTTAACTTGTACGATAGGAACAGAGATATATGGAAAATATTCTCCGGTATTTTAATACATATACGAGGGGATTTCAATATATACCAAGGATTTTAGAAATGTTACATGTTGGCACTTGGTACATATCGGAAGAGCCTCCTTATTGAAAATATGTTGGTGCGTAAGTAGAGTATGTCCTATTCGAAGCCATTTGATGATGACTTGGTCTTTTCGATTCCTTGGAAATATAGTGTGGTTCCTACTTGACCAAGGCATTCATTGAGTTTGGTGGCAGTGTGATCCCAAGTAGTCTGCCACACTTTATATATGTGGCCTTTGACGTTTACTTTGTGATCAGCATAAGGTATTTTATGAGAGCAATATTTTGGTCTCTTATTGCACCGCTTGCCAGGAAAATACCATCTCGAATGTTAAAATGGTGGTTGATAAATTTTACAGAATGAGAAAAAGCAAACTTTGAATGAATGAACCCTCTTTGTATGTTCTAAAAATCGTATGGACAAGGATCTGCATGTTCTACCCACTTAAGTAGCATCGCAATCGCAACATAATGATGTACAAACTCCGCCACGACTCAGAATTAGTTAGAATTTGATTTAGAGTATTGTGTACTTTAAAAGAACTGTAGATGTTATCAAGCGAATTCATAAGAGTGTATGATTTTTTCGGAAAATTTTACGTGATGGAACGGTAATGATGCACATATGGTAGAAATGAAGGGATCTATAGGAAAAGCTGAGTTTTGAAGGAGCATAACCTCTCTTTTATGGATTAATCTATCGATAATAATTGTTGTCTGCTATTTGCTTGATAACATTTAATTCGTTATTATAGTCTTGAGTTGAAAGGGGGATAGGATAGATAAGGACAAAACTTCGCAAAGTTGATTATTTGTGGGTGAGAAGGTGACATGATAGGTTTGAATAGATAAGTCTAGAAGTTGAATCGTACTGGAGTAACTACTGTTAACATACGTATATGAGATATTGATAAATTTTGAACTAACGCATAAGAAAAAAGATGGGGATGCATACAGTATAATTAGGACATATGATGAGTACTGAATGCTGAACAGGTAAAAATCTACTTTAAATTTTATTAAACTTTATATTTTAGATTACTTGGCACGAGATAGCTAGACCTCAAGTACATGGCTACGACATGAACTCAATAGCAATTATTTCTCGATATCTTTTTGCTTCAGCCGCTGAGGAAAAGGTTACACGAATTTTTGAGGCTCCGACAAATTTTATAGAAAATCTTAGAAGGATATGTCCCATTACAGAAGATAAAGAAGGAGATGAGATCATAAAATCCTCAGGTATATAAAATACGTCTACTTATATATATCTTTTAGAGGTTTTTTAATTACTTTTTTAGTAATAATTTCTATTTTCTCAACATTTCCTTGATGTTCATATTTCTTTCATACCATCAATTCTGGTCTATCCTGAGTTTGCAAATTTTATAATGCTCTTCCCGTTCTTACATTTTTATTCAAGATACATTTCATTCAGGATACTGTCTATGTTCGGTGCATTTGCTTTCCAATGTGTCATTTTTTCTTTCCGATACTTTTCTTTTCACGTCTCTATTTAAACGGGCATATATTTTTTAATCTTCTCATTCTTATGAAACCAACCACGTCTGATAGATTTTATTTTTTTCTTCTATTATAGATGATAAATCTTCTGGCCACAATTCTGGGTGTTTTGCTGCACTTTAAATGGCTTTGTATAACCCCTCGTATAAAGTTTCTACATTTCCATCTTTCAATGTTATTTATTTTTGCACCTAGTCGTTATTTATAAAAAAAATGTACTGACTCTTGTCCCAATCTTTGCAAATTGTATTTGGGTACTGTGAGATTTTTCTTCTTGATGTTTGCTATCTTTATTACACTATTTTCGATATGGCATGTGTATATATTGGCCTTAATCAGAAAATGGTTTGATATACATTGGGATCCTCTATGTGGACGTCCTTAATTATCAGCTGTGACTTTTTGCGGTATATTGTCAGTAATGCATTTATGATTTCTAGATGGTTAATAAATAACACGTATATTTATGAATAGATTTTTGTGGAAACAAGCCGTTCATAATTTTTAAAGATAGACTTGCATATAAATCTATCTTTGACCACTATCATTTTAGTATCTTTTCCATGTTTTCCAAAGATGCATGTGTATTAAGATCTAAAATGAGCTTTTTTTTTCGGTTATTTATATTTGTTAGAACTTCTGTCAGTTTGTCATAAAATTCATCTGCTTCATTGGTAGGTGCGTATACTCCGAAAATAACTATTTCTCTGTCTTGTGATTTATTTTTGGTATATATTTATACTTTATAGTCTTTAACTGAATATATTGAGGAGGAGAGAACTGTTTGTCTCAAGTTTTTCATAGATTCTAATAAAGATAGCTTAAGGCCTTTATTTTGGATGTGAAAAAGAATGAAATTCGTCATTAAAATAATGATTATAGCCTAGAAGGTGAAGTGCGTACGTAGAATCTCTTTTTTTATTATTGAAAGCCCTGTTGTGTTCTGCTATACGTTTGTTAAAAGTTCTACCAGTTTGACCGATGTAAGTTTTTGGGCTGTCGCCCAAGTTTGTACTCACTCTCAACTGTGTTACATTCCAACTCATATGTTTTTTTTATCGTTTTTGTATAGCAATGGACCATCCTCTTTTTGCTGTTTCGTTCTTTTTGTTTCACTCTAAAAGTTTATATAGCTGCCAATTATTTCACTTTCTCTACTTTTCTTCTTTGTTTCAGTAAATACTTGACATCTCTTTAAATACTGTTTTTGTACCAATACCTTCTATATTCCAGGTAACCATATTCATTTAACGTTTTCTTTGCCTTTTTCGTATGTTTGATCCGTCCTTATTTCGAGGATCTTTCGAGTGAAGTTTTCAATCATTTAAGAGTTTTCCTGAAAGTTGAGCGGTCGGCCCATCGTTTCAACCCCCAACCTGGAGGACCAGAATTTTCTGTCAGGGTTTTCTCCCTGAAACGTTCCAGTTTTTTGACGATGGATAATTGCCATTCTCCTTCTTCCTTTACCTATACTTTTCTACATTTTTAAAATCATTGAATAATTTTGTAGTTAACCATAATTAAACTCGCTCGAGACACGAATTAAACTTGTAGGTATCACTTGAAATACCGTATTTGACTGATGATCTCTATCATGATGACATATTGTCGTATCTTATTTCTATTTACCTTCTCTACTTGTTTATTTTACGTTACCTCAATAGTTTTTCTTTTTTTATAGATAAAAAAGAAGGACCAAAGGGAGCATCAGTACCGTCGTTGGGATTATCGAATAAAGCTGTTTATACTAATGACAACTTCGAACAAACATTGCCTGTTGACAAAAAGAATCCCTATCCTGAAGAATCTCAGTTCACGGCTACCGAATTAACTGGTGAGTACTTAATTCATTCCAAATTAGCGTTCTTTTTAAGTTCTCGGTTTAGATTGGAGTTTGTATAGTCTTTATTAGTTTTAGTGAAACCACAAGTTTACATATATTCTGTACAGCTGCGGTCACTGACTAGTTTACACCATTTTTTACATTGTAATCCTTTAAAATCGCAGTATCGTACGGATTTGCTAGATATCAAATTGCTTGTCTGAAATTTCGCGCTTATTGAAAAATAAAATAAAAAGCTATTAAATGCGTTCAAAAAGCTTAGAATGCATTTTAATGACGCGAAAAAAAGAGCAATTGCCAAACTCGAAGAAGGTTCACTCTTCTTCGAGTTTATTCTTCTTCGAGAATATATATATATATATATATATATATATATATATATATATATATATATATATATATATATATATATATATATATATATATATATACAGATTGAACCAAATTAAAACGGAACATACAATTTAATACATGTCTGTTTGAACTGCATTTGAAATAGTGGACCAATATAAAACTTGGACAAAAATAAATCCATACCTGGGTATAGACATTGTATAAAATGTCGTTCAACTATCTGTCTACTTTAAGAACGCACCGTAGTCTAAGAGCAACGCCCAAAGTCAATGTTTCCAATCGCCGTATAATAATCCGATTTGCGGATCTGTTTGAGAGTTATATCTGCTTCGTATCTTTAAATAAATAGGATATTTGCCTATATTTTTCATTGTATTTACCAATCTACTACAACAGACTAATAACAAAAATAAACTTAGTGCAGTTATTTCCTTTCTTTCCTGTAAATACATATTTTATGGTTTACAGGAAAGAAACACCTTATTTGAGAAACAGCTAGAGGAATGAATAGCGGCAACACCGCTCTGGGCAAGGGCTGGTCTTAGGAAGCGAGAGTGGTTTGACAGCATAATAAAATCTAGTCTAGTTTTCACAGTGATTCTAGGCTGTAAGTCCGTAGCGTTAAAATAAAATATTTTCGTAAATATATTAAAATGTATAAAATTGAAGAAAAAATACAAATTTTATTAAATGGCCAACTATATGGCCTAGGAGACAAATTCGTTAAACTTCCCGTGCTCGAATTGGTATCACTAAAGTGTTATGATCATTTCGGCCTATCCCAGCCATCGTCAGACACTTGGGCTGATACAAATTCAAACACGGAAAGTAAAACGAATGTCTCCCAATCTTCACTACCGTGTAGTTAGCTTATAAAGGCGCCCTCTATTTTGAAGGCCGTGAACGAAACGATATGAATAATCGTTTTCTGTATCCTTTATGCTATGCGAAATGTGTAAGAATTAAATCTTTTAGCGAAAGCCGCTATCGCTGTATGTATTAAATGGCCAACTATATGGCCTAGGAGACAAATTCGTTAAACTTCCCGTGCTCGAATTGGTATCACTAAAGTGTTATGATCATTTCGGCCTATCCCAGCCATCGTCAGACACTTGGGCTGATACAAATTCAAACACGGAAAGTAAAACGAATGTCTCCCAATCTTCACTACCGTGTAGTTAGCTTATAAAGGCGCCCTCTATTTTGAAGGCCGTGAACGAAACGATATGAATAATCGTTTTCTGTATCCTTTATGCTATGCGAAATGTGTAAGAATTAAATCTTTTAGCGAAAGCCGCTATCGCTGTATGTATTAAATGGCCAACTATATGGCCTAGGAGACAAATTCGTTAAACTTCCCGTGCTCGAATTGGTATCACTAAAGTGTTATGATCATTTCGGCCTATCCCAGCCATCGTCAGACACTTGGGCTGATACAAATTCAAACACGGAAAGTAAAACGAATGTCTCCCAATCTTCACTACCGTGTAGTTAGCTTATAAAGGCGCCCTCTATTTTGAAGGCCGTGAACGAAACGATATGAATAATCGTTTTCTGTATCCTTTATGCTATGCGAAATGTGTAAGAATTAAATCTTTTAGCGAAAGCCGCTATCGCTGTATGTATTAAATGGCCAACTATATGGCCTAGGAGACAAATTCGTTAAACTTCCCGTGCTCGAATTGGTATCACTAAAGTGTTATGATCATTTCGGCCTATCCCAGCCATCGTCAGACACTTGGGCTGATACAAATTCAAACACGGAAAGTAAAACGAATGTCTCCCAATCTTCACTACCGTGTAGTTAGCTTATAAAGGCGCCCTCTATTTTGAAGGCCGTGAACGAAACGATATGAATAATCGTTTTCTGTATCCTTTATGCTATGCGAAATGTGTAAGAATTAAATCTTTTAGCGAAAGCCGCTATCGCTGTATGTATTAAATGGCCAACTATATGGCCTAGGAGACAAATTCGTTAAACTTCCCGTGCTCGAATTGGTATCACTAAAGTGTTATGATCATTTCGGCCTATCCCAGCCATCGTCAGACACTTGGGCTGATACAAATTCAAACACGGAAAGTAAAACGAATGTCTCCCAATCTTCACTACCGTGTAGTTAGCTTATAAAGGCGCCCTCTATTTTGAAGGCCGTGAACGAAACGATATGAATAATCGTTTTCTGTATCCTTTATGCTATGCGAAATGTGTAAGAATTAAATCTTTTAGCGAAAGCCGCTATCGCTGTATGTATTAAATGGCCAACTATATGGCCTAGGAGACAAATTCGTTAAACTTCCCGTGCTCGAATTGGTATCACTAAAGTGTTATGATCATTTCGGCCTATCCCAGCCATCGTCAGACACTTGGGCTGATACAAATTCAAACACGGAAAGTAAAACGAATGTCTCCCAATCTTCACTACCGTGTAGTTAGCTTATAAAGGCGCCCTCTATTTTGAAGGCCGTGAACGAAACGATATGAATAATCGTTTTCTGTATCCTTTATGCTATGCGAAATGTGTAAGAATTAAATCTTTTAGCGAAAGCCGCTATCGCTGTATGTATTAAATGGCCAACTATATGGCCTAGGAGACAAATTCGTTAAACTTCCCGTGCTCGAATTGGTATCACTAAAGTGTTATGATCATTTCGGCCTATCCCAGCCATCGTCAGACACTTGGGCTGATACAAATTCAAACACGGAAAGTAAAACGAATGTCTCCCAATCTTCACTACCGTGTAGTTAGCTTATAAAGGCGCCCTCTATTTTGAAGGCCGTGAACGAAACGATATGAATAATCGTTTTCTGTATCCTTTATGCTATGCGAAATGTGTAAGAATTAAATCTTTTAGCGAAAGCCGCTATCGCTGTATGTATTAAATGGCCAACTATATGGCCTAGGAGACAAATTCGTTAAACTTCCCGTGCTCGAATTGGTATCACTAAAGTGTTATGATCATTTCGGCCTATCCCAGCCATCGTCAGACACTTGGGCTGATACAAATTCAAACACGGAAAGTAAAACGAATGTCTCCCAATCTTCACTACCGTGTAGTTAGCTTATAAAGGCGCCCTCTATTTTGAAGGCCGTGAACGAAACGATATGAATAATCGTTTTCTGTATCCTTTATGCTATGCGAAATGTGTAAGAATTAAATCTTTTAGCGAAAGCCGCTATCGCTGTATGTATTAAATGGCCAACTATATGGCCTAGGAGACAAATTCGTTAAACTTCCCGTGCTCGAATTGGTATCACTAAAGTGTTATGATCATTTCGGCCTATCCCAGCCATCGTCAGACACTTGGGCTGATACAAATTCAAACACGGAAAGTAAAACGAATGTCTCCCAATCTTCACTACCGTGTAGTTAGCTTATAAAGGCGCCCTCTATTTTGAAGGCCGTGAACGAAACGATATGAATAATCGTTTTCTGTATCCTTTATGCTATGCGAAATGTGTAAGAATTAAATCTTTTAGCGAAAGCCGCTATCGCTGTATGTATTAAATGGCCAACTATATGGCCTAGGAGACAAATTCGTTAAACTTCCCGTGCTCGAATTGGTATCACTAAAGTGTTATGATCATTTCGGCCTATCCCAGCCATCGTCAGACACTTGGGCTGATACAAATTCAAACACGGAAAGTAAAACGAATGTCTCCCAATCTTCACTACCGTGTAGTTAGCTTATAAAGGCGCCCTCTATTTTGAAGGCCGTGAACGAAACGATATGAATAATCGTTTTCTGTATCCTTTATGCTATGCGAAATGTGTAAGAATTAAATCTTTTAGCGAAAGCCGCTATCGCTGTATGTATTAAATGGCCAACTATATGGCCTAGGAGACAAATTCGTTAAACTTCCCGTGCTCGAATTGGTATCACTAAAGTGTTATGATCATTTCGGCCTATCCCAGCCATCGTCAGACACTTGGGCTGATACAAATTCAAACACGGAAAGTAAAACGAATGTCTCCCAATCTTCACTACCGTGTAGTTAGCTTATAAAGGCGCCCTCTATTTTGAAGGCCGTGAACGAAACGATATGAATAATCGTTTTCTGTATCCTTTATGCTATGCGAAATGTGTAAGAATTAAATCTTTTAGCGAAAGCCGCTATCGCTGTATGTATTAAATGGCCAACTATATGGCCTAGGAGACAAATTCGTTAAACTTCCCGTGCTCGAATTGGTATCACTAAAGTGTTATGATCATTTCGGCCTATCCCAGCCATCGTCAGACACTTGGGCTGATACAAATTCAAACACGGAAAGTAAAACGAATGTCTCCCAATCTTCACTACCGTGTAGTTAGCTTATAAAGGCGCCCTCTATTTTGAAGGCCGTGAACGAAACGATATGAATAATCGTTTTCTGTATCCTTTATGCTATGCGAAATGTGTAAGAATTAAATCTTTTAGCGAAAGCCGCTATCGCTGTATGTATTAAATGGCCAACTATATGGCCTAGGAGACAAATTCGTTAAACTTCCCGTGCTCGAATTGGTATCACTAAAGTGTTATGATCATTTCGGCCTATCCCAGCCATCGTCAGACACTTGGGCTGATACAAATTCAAACACGGAAAGTAAAACGAATGTCTCCCAATCTTCACTACCGTGTAGTTAGCTTATAAAGGCG